CTGTATGAGTCTGCATCTGCTTTTGAACAGATGCGGTTTATTGCCTCACGCGGGCTGGAAGGTGAAGCTCGCCCTCCTCCACCTAAGATTCCTCGACTTAATGAGTCATGGGTGTCCTCCCCGCACCCGCAGATGTCTGCTGGAGCCTTTCCGTCACATCCTAGCGGAATGGCGATTGGCAGTGCAGTCAGTGCTTTGGATGCAGATGCGTGGGTGGAGGAGGAGTCTGAGCTAATGTTGGGTGAAGGGGGCCACCAGTGGTACACGACAAAGGAGGATACGCCAGGTACGCAACATGGCGTCACCATTCGTTCAGGGCGTCCGCCGTCACTTTCTGAAGGGCCGGAATTAAGTAGGCCGCTGGTTTCTTTCTCTTTGGGCAGAGCTCATNTCCGCCGTCACTTTCTGAAGGGCCGGAATTAAGTAGGCCGCTGGTTTCTTTCTCTTTGGGCAGAGCTCATAGCGGTGATTACGCAATGATGCCTGATGCCTGGCTCGAAGACTCCGTGGCGAACACCGATGAACAGGCCTTGCAACAAATGGTGGTGGGCACTGTAACAGGACATCCAAAGGGGGAGACGAGTTCAGCAGCTTCAAGCAGTGCAGATTCTGTGGGAACGTTTATCAAACCTACAGGCGGGAAACCAACGGGTGGAGTCGATCACGGTGTCGTACGTCCAGCTGTCGGTCAGGAGAGTGGTGGAGGTATGTTAGTACAAATGGAAACAGGGCAAAGGATTGACAAACCGAAGGGCTCCATTGCCTTTACTTCGCATGCTCTGAAGGAGTCGGGTTCTGCTACAGCTGTGGGGGCAACCAGTAGTGGAGGTGGGGAGCCCTGTATGTCTAAGCACATTCATCAGCATCCTTTCGTGCGGCTGCCAGCGGTGAATCCGGAGGATATCCGCAGGCATTTCAGCGAGTTCATTTTCCTGCCATTTGATAGAAAAGCGGATAGTCCGATGGGGGCTTACATGATAATGCGCAGATTGTTTGCCAAGCCTTTGCTGACGGCTGGAGATGTGGAGACACTCATGGCCAACGCCGAACAATTAGTAAGGTACGCAACATTCAAACTCACACGACCAGATAACATCCACGCAGCTAGCCGCCGGTTTATGAAACTGTCGTCCTTGTTTATGGTATTTGACCACCTGGTGTGCACAATTGAGCTTCTGGGGGAGAAGATGGATACCGACAGTTGGTGGCCTGGGTTTGTAACGAAGTTCCAAACGGATTATGATCTTCCTGAAAAAGCGAGAATGAAAAGAACAAGCATGCTGAGCCAGCTAGTAAATCGACTGAGTCGTGCGCTATCAATATATAAGCAAAGACGACGCCCGCCACTTCAGGAAGTAATTGAGCTGAAGAGGCTCGTTATTAGGGAGGCATACAACATAGGCCAAATGGCGAATCCACTGTGGCAGCTCTGGATGCAGGATGATAAGGAATTCTCTTCTTCTAGTACCGCTCCTGATAGCCTCCCTGACGGTCGGGCGCACGGTCAAGGAGAACCCAAGCTGCCATGATGTTTACGTCTTACTGGCCGGCTCTTTTATTACAGAGTTCCCCCTCCGTATGCGATGGCCTCATGCTTTTCTGAGTGCCGAAAGTTCTGGGAGTTGAGGGCAAACGAAAGCACCCGCATCAATGTATGCGTGCTATTCTGCTTGGCTATCTGGCTCATCTGCAACTCCCGGTTATTTTCTGCTTACTTAATGCTGCTTCAAAGCGACTGCGGTCTTCAGACATTGTTGCCCCTTGATGGCATCTCACCCACAAGCTGCAAACGGATCGTAGTTGTCACTTGAGCGTCCAGNGCAGCTGACAGAGAAACGCATTTGCCTTCACTTACTCAGGTTGGCATTGCTCCCTTGCTAATCCGTGCTGTGACGAATCTCTATTCGCCTTGCACGAAAAGGGAGCAGTGGCCACATATCGTTATAACCGATCGTGAAGCTGCATGTGAGCTGCCTTGGTAGTGACGATGCCATAGCTAAGGACATGGCGAGCCACTGCACCGAGAACTAAGGGTGGTTTTTTCTTTTCCTCCATGCCGCGTGGAGCTTCTGCGTAGGAAGTACTAAGGTGCGCTTGGCGCTGTTCCAAACTTGCAGCCCTGCAGTACGTTAGACGGTACTTGGAGGAAGTGAACTTTAACGTTTGTATATGGAGCGAGCTTTAGGCTGCCGCTGCTTTTGCGCAATATGAATGGATACGCCTGCAAACGAAGGGAAAGGGATGAGCATTGTAGCATGGAATCTCTGATGTTGACGCATCTATTTCTGGTTGAGTGAAGGCTGGTTCCTGTGGGCGAAGGAATTGTTTAGCTATTTTCAACTATGTCAGTGCTCGCGTAGAAAACGAGCTTCAGTTTGCTTGCTTTTGGTGCTGTCTTGCGGAAGGAATGGCAGCATGGTGTGTTTCAACCCTCGACAGGCCACCTGCCTCCACCACCGACGTTAGGCCTTTGTGCCTCTGTAAGCAGGGCTCCCGGAGAGAAGGGTCAGCTGCAGTTGGGAATTGTTGTT